CCAGATTTTTGAGTGCCCTGGGGGTTGTTTGAGGGTTAACAGTATATTTCTACATAAAGACATGTACACGAATGCTCACAGCAGTTTTATTTGGAATAGCAGTAACAAATAAAAACAAGACAAATGCCCATCAGTAGGTGCATAGATAAACAAACTATGGCACATCCATAAATAGAATACAACTGAGAGCCCTGGCCGGTTTGGCTCAGTGGATAGAGCATTGGCCTGCGGACTGAAGGGTCCCAGGTTCGATTCCAGCCAAGGCACATACCTGTGTTGTGGGCTGGATCCCTGGTAGGGGGCGTGTAGGAGGCAGCTGATCAATGTTTCTCTCTCATCATTGATGTTTCTATCTCTTTCTCCTCCCTTCTTCTCTGAAATCAATAAATATATATTTTTTAAAAAGAATACAACCAAGAAATAAAAAGGAATGGACTACTGATATATGCTACAAAATAAATGAATCTCAGAATACTTCTGTTAAATGAAAGAACAGACAATGGAGAGTACCTGCTTAACATGGTTAATTATGTCCACTTATGTACCATTATAGAAAATAATGGTACATAATGGTACCATTATAGAAAATACGAAGTAATTTAAAGGGACGGGAAGCAGGCCTGTGGTTTCTTTAGAATGGGATTGTGGGAGGGCTATAAAGAAGGAATTACTAAAGGATAAGAGGAAAACGTTCAGGGTGACAGATATGTTCATTATCTTAATTGTGGTGGTGGTTTCACTGATGGTATATTTGTCACTTTATTTTTTAAATACATTTGTCACTTTAAATATGTGCAGTTTGTGTTAAACATACCACAATAAGCTGTTAAAAACCAAGTTTGGGGAATATTGTATTTGGGACTTTTATACAAAGCCAGTCTTCCTTAATGCATTTTATGGTTCTGGAGTTTTTTTATGTGTGGGTTTTTTTTTGCTTTTGTTTTTTGTAATTATATAGCAAGCATGTCCAAAATCAAAGCCCACAGATCCTGTTTCACAAACATCGAGGCCTGCACGCATACCGTCACTTTCTGTGTGCCCTGGTGTGGGAAAAGGACTCGTTCTGAGGGTCATTCCTCCATGCCTGAGAGGCAACGGGCCCAGGTGATGTCACTGGCTTTGACGCACAAAAGGAGAGGCATCCCAACCACAGGACTAAGACGTCCTCGCCATGTGCTCCGCGCTGCTTTCTGGAGAGGGGAGTGGCTGAGCACTGGACAGAAATAAAAGTGCCTACTGCACGCAGTCCTCTGCAGGCACCACGTGTAAGTGAAATCATTCCGCATATAAGAGAACCCAGAAATAAAGCCACACGTATATGAAAAATGATTTTCAACAAATCTGCAAAGGCCATTCAGTGAAGAAAGGAACATCTTTCAACAAACGGTACTGGAGCCATTGGATATTCATAGGCAAAATAAATGAATTTCAATTCATATCTCGTGCCACATACAAAAATTAACTCAAAATTAACTCACAAGCCCACGGAGGCTTTAGAACCAGAGTGACTGTCCCTCCTAAATGTAGTTGCTTTACTTAACTATAAAACTTCTAAAAGAAAATACCTTTGTGGCAAAGGTTTCTTAGATATAATACCAAAGGCACGATGCACAAAAGAAAGACATTGGACTTCATCAAGTGAAAACTTCTGCTATTAAAAACCATTGTTAATAGAATGAAAAGACAAGCCACAGACTAGGAGAGAATATTTGCAAATTGTATATCTGATAAAGGACTTGTATATAGATTACATACAGAATTTTCAAAACTCAATAAGAAAACAATAAATTGTTTTAAATATTTGAAAAGACGCTTCAACAAAGAAATTATGTGGACAGTGAATAGGCCCATGAAAAAAATGCTTAACATGGTTAATTATGTAGGAAATGCAAAATAAAACTGCAACGAAACATCACCACAAAGAAGACCGACCATACCAAATACTGGCAAGGATCTAGAGGAGAGAAAATCATGCATCCACTTTGGAATATGCTTTGGCAGTTTCTTTAAACGTTAGACATACAGCCCTCGCTGGCGTGGCTCAGTGGATAGAGTGTCAGCCTGCAGAGGG